CCCCCCCCACCTTTCTGTGTCTTTTGCAGGCTCATTCTCCTCACCCTGCCCTTCATAATGTTCTGTCAGTTTCTCTCCTAGAATCTTTTTTTCCACTTAAGGTAATTTTTTTTTTCTTTTCCTCAGGTTGAATAACAATTTAGGCAATCTCATCTGCTCCCCTGCTTCCAGTCACTGCTGGTGGCAGAACCTCTGTCTCCAGCCCAAATCTGTACACTCTTGTGTTTCAGCTGTTAGGCATATTCACTTAGATGTTCCTGTAGGTCCCTGAAACACAGCACATCTCAAATGAAACACATCTCCCTCTTAAAATGTTTCTTTGTATTTCTCATATTCAGTTGAACGTGTTCCTATTGATCCAGTTTCTCAGGCCATTCCCAGATGACATGGTAGTTACCCTTGACATCTCTTTTTTTCCCCATGCATGATGAATGTCGTCACTCCTGAATACCACTCTTATCCATCCCACTCTTTCTCCACTGCCTCCACCCTTTTTCAGGCCACTGTCATCTCTTACGTAGACTCATTTGGTCTCGTAGGTTGTCTCTTGGATCCCTTTAAGTTGATTCTGCAGATTTCTTCATAGATCCTCTGTGATACTTCTGTCTTACTCTTTTTCCCCTTTCTTCATTAATTCTCAGTCTCTGCTACACTAGACTTATGACTTCATTAGGTCCACCAGGTTTTTTTCTTCGTAACTTGGGTGCATTTGTTTTGAACTGTTCAGCCCTCACTCACCCCATGCATCCCCTCCCACGCAAACATCTTCAAGTTTAGGTCTTTCTTAGGTAAAGTTTTAACTTTAGTATTTCTTCCTCAGGGAGGCCTTCTCCTTCCCCCAGTAGGTGCAGAACCCTTGTGTTTCTGCTCTCTGAACTCATCGCATTTGGAATTGCCATGCTGCTGACATCCTTTTTGTCACTGACTCCTGCCGGAGTGCAGGAACTATCTCCTTTGCTGCTTTCTCCCTAATGCCTGGTACCTAGTTGATATATACCAAGAAATATTTAGAATGAACGAACAAACTAATATACAAGGAATATTTTGGGATCATCTGTGTAATGGTCATTTATATGTGTTTAATCTTAAAGAACAGTCTTTTAACCAATACCGTATCCTTCTGTGATGTAATGACCATATGGATGACTGCCTCATTCCTTGCCCAGATCTCCTAAAAGGCTGTTTTCTTTACCCTGATTCTATTTCTGGCTGTGAGTACTCTTTGTATATTTGTCTTAAGTTAAACTGTAACTCTGATGTAAATTTTTTTTTTTTTTTTTTTTTTGAGATGGAGTCTCACTCTGTCTCTCAGGCTTAGAGTGCAGTGGTACAATCTCAGTTCACTGCACCCTCCGCCTCCCAGGTTTAAGCAGTTCTCCTCCCTCAGCCTCCCAAGTAGCTGGGATTACAGGTGTGCACCACCATGCCCGGCTAATTTTTTGTATTTTTAATAAAGACAGGGTTTCACCATGCTAGCCAGGCTGGTCTCGAACTCCTGACCTTGTGATCTGCCCACCTTGGCCTCCCAAAGTGCTGGGATTACAGACGTGAGTCACCACGCCCAGCCTACTGTTACGTAATTTTTAGACACTTCAGTAGTAAGTCTGTTAATTTATCCCATGTTAAAACAATTTTCTGTTTTCCATCTTGGTTTTTGGTTTTGTTTTTAATGCAGTAAGACTCTTCTCACAGAACCAGGGGCAGTCCTTTTACTACTGACATTATACTGATGGTTGTAGTCATTGTTCTTGTTTTTCTTAAAATATATTTTTCTGCAGCTGTTGCAGGAACCTGGGCAGTTCTCTGGACTCTGCTAGTAATTTACTCAACTTCCAACATTCCTTACCCACAGACAGAATCAGTGTCCTCACTCTTGGATACTTGGTTGGTTGTTTAAAGGAAAGGACTGGCATAATAACTCCTGCCCACATCTGCCTAGCTGGTTGTAAGCCTTTGCACTCATATTTAGTACATGCTAGTACTCTGAGTATGTCTATCCAGTGTCATGGGGTGTATAGGATCAGAAATATTTTTGGTCTAGGAGCTGGGAAAAATAGAAATAGTATATGCATGATAATAGTCTTCAATAAAATGGTCAATCTTTTCAAAGTTTTTCAAACCTCAAGCAGGTTACTCTTTAGAATTATCTTTCTAGCCAGGCATAGTGTGACACATGTCTGTTAGTCCCAGCTACTCTGGAGCCTGAGGCAGGAGGGTTGTTTGACCCCAGGAATTTGAGTCCAGCCTGGGCAACATAGTGAGACCCTGTCTCTTAAAGAAAATGGTATTCCTTAAGCATTCTGAAGAGCTAGTGTATCAATGCTTGGTCAAAAAGAAATGATGTCCTCTTGGGGATTTTGTCCTTTTCAGTAATATGGGAACATGGTCTATCGGTCCTTCATTTGAACCATACACTTTCCCTTTGCTTTCACAGAGACATTGCAGACTTGCTAATTAAAGGGAATGTCTTACTTGCAGGGTGGCCAAGAAAAATGTCTTGTTATTGATTGTACTTGAAAACTCTATGCAGTGGCTATTAGTTTAGTTGTATACTTGTGAAATCTATTTAACTGTCTTAGGATGTTACACTAAAAATACTTAAATTATTTCAGAATATGGTCTTCGATTGGCAAGCCATATATTTGTTAAGGAAATTTCACAAGATAGTTTGGCAGCAAGAGATGGCAATATTCAAGAAGGTGATGTTGTATTGAAGGTACAGTCATATTCTTACTTTTTAATGAACTGAAATAGAAAACAAGTTCTAGAGTTACCATGTAGTCTGTGCTGTTGTTTGAAGCAGTTTTGCCAAAGAGAATTAAAAATCAATGTTTGCGGGAGAGGGATGTAAATTCCCTTTATGCATTATTACATGTCGACACCGATACTTTAGGTATCACGGGGTCATCCTGAGATAATTATTCACCAGCCGGTACTACTTCGTAGATAAGATATGTCTGTTCTTACACATTAAAAAATTCTGATAATTGCTTCCAGATATTATTGAAATGCTTATTTGTTTGTTTATAAGTAGTAGAAAGTGACAGCCGTTTGAGAAGGAGTTAGGGGATGCTACTTTGGGCTTTTCTGACAGCAACAGTACAGTAAAGATTTTATCATCTCAGGAAGGTGGAATACTTTTGATAATTTGGAAAAGTATAAAGAGAATATTTTGGATCTTACAGCAAGGAGTGGTTTGGATATTTCTGTTTATAACAAACCAAGTTAACATTTGTATTTTATCATTTACTTGAAACCTATAATTTATTTTCTGTTGCAGATAAATGGTACTGTGACAGAAAATATGTCATTGACAGATGCAAAGACATTGATAGAAAGGTCTAAAGGCAAATTAAAAATGGTAGTTCAAAGAGATGAACGGGCTACACTGTTGAACGTCCCTGATCTGTCTGACAGCATCCACTCTGCTAATGCCTCTGAGAGAGACGGTGAGTGTGACTCTGTTTCAAGGCCCCCTCTAAGTGACCTATTTTCTTAAAAACACTAGGGAGACTGGACATCTTTGAAAGAAATGATAATTTTCTACCAGCCAAACACCTTCAAAATCTAAAAGTTTTATATATATTTTTTCCTGTAGACAACTCACCACTACTGATTTGATCGCTGGCTGATGAAATTAATGCATAAATTTTCCCTTTTATATATAATTTTACTTACTAGCTTATCTTCATTATTACTGGAGTACTTTATACTTGACTGTAATTATTTTTGTGGGAAAATAAGTAGCACTCTTTTATTAACAGACATTTCAGAAATTCAGTCACTGGCCTCAGATCATTCTGGTCGATCACACGATAGGCCTCCCCGCCGCAGCCGGTCACGATCTCCTGACCAGCGGTCAGAGCCTTCTGATCATTCCAGACACTCTCCACAGCAGCCAAGCAATGGCAGGTAAGACACTGTATTTTTAAAAAAATACAGGGGTTTTGTTTGCTTGATACCAGTATCTAAAATTGCTTACAAATAAAAGATGGATTTCTTTTGATTATTCAAGATTAGATCTGTTTTTCTCAATGTAGACATTTTTAAAATCTAAAATAACTGCAAACTTTTCCTTAAAGGGTCAGATAGTAAACATATTTCAGTCTTCCAGGCCATACAGTTCTTGTCACTGCTCAACTGCAAAAGCAGCCATAGACAGTATGTAGTGAATAGACAGATTATGTTCCCATAAAACTGTATTTACAAAAACAGTTGATCCACAGCTGTAGTTTGCCATACTATTGCATTAGAAGATGCTAGCAAGCTTCAGGAATCTACTACTTGGGAAAGTGAACTATAGAAGTCCTTTAATAAACACCTTAACCTGGACTTTTTTCTCTTTTAAAAATACACTAGTGTTGGCTGGGCATGGTGGCTCACACCTGTAATCCCAGCACTTTGGGAGGCCGAGGTGGGCGGATCACTTGAGGCCAGGAGATCGAGACCAGCCTGGCTGACATGGTGAAACTCTGTCTCTACTAAAAATGCAAATATTACCCAGGCGTGTTGACACATGCTTGTAATCCCAGCTACTTGTGAGGCTGAGACATGAGAATTGCTTGAACCTGGGAAGCAGCGGTTGCAGTGAGCCAAGATTGCACCATTGCACTCCAGCCTCAGTGACAGAGGGGAACTCTCTCTCAAAAACAAAACAAAACACTAGTATTTATGCCAGAGGTTCTGGTATAGTGGTAGTATGTGACCTACCTGAGTTTATCTTTCTTTAGAGTCACATGTGCATTTGAGAATCTGAAGAAAATTACGATCCTTCTCTCCAGACAATTTGCATGTGCACATACACGCAGCAATTGCATACGATTTCTGGAGACTCCCAAGGCCCTGTAGGCCACCAGCTGACCCATGGTTAACTGCAGTCCACATGAAGATCACTTGAAACATGAGTCCAGGGCTGAAGAGACAGTTTAGAAGAAAAGGGAACCCTTATATGTTGTTGATGGGAATGTAAATTGATACGGCCATTCTGGAAAACAATACGGAGTTTCCTCAAAAAATTAAAACTAGAACTAGCACATGATCCAGCAGTTCCACTTCTGGGTATGTGTCCAAAGGAAGTGACATCACTGTCTCGAAGAGATATCTGCACTCTCATGTTTGTTGCAGCGTTATTCACAATAGCCAAGGTATGGAGTCAACCTAAATGTCCAGCACATGAATTGATAAAGAAAATGTGGTGTATATGTTCACACACACAGTGAAATATAATTCAGCCTTTTAAAAGAAGGAAATCTGCCATGGAACAACATGGATGAAGCTGGAGGGCATTGTGCTAAGCGAAATGAACCAGACACAGAGAGACAAACACTGCATGCCCTCACTTACTGTGGAACCTGAACAAGTTGGACTCAGAAACAGACAGTAGAATACCAGGGATTGGGGTGGGGAGGAATGGGGAGATGTTGGTTAAAGGGTACACAGTTACAGTTATAAGATGAGTAAGTTCTGGAGACCTAATTTACAGTGTGGTATCAAGAGTAATAATGTATATGAGAGTAGATCTTATGGTATTCTTTTGACACATTAAGAAAAGTAACTGTGAGGCATGGATATGTTAATTAACTTGGTTGCAGTCATCATCTGAATATGTATATCAAAACATCACTGTTGTACACCTTCAATGGATATAATGTTTATTTGTCAGACCTCAGTAAAGCTGGAAAGAAAATTTGGTCATCTCTTCTAGATCTGAAGAGAAGATTTTGGACTCGAGATGCTGAATTGAGACTTAACTTGCATAGAGGTGTTAGCAGAAGCCATAGAAGTCACTAAAATTGCTAAGAGACACAATTTGGAAAGAAGTCAGAGAACTGGGTAACAGGGAGCACGTTCTTTTAGGAAGTTGAAGAGGCAAGGGAGAAGTAAGAGAAGGGAGGCGTACCTAGCCAGGAGAGAGCCTTTTTAAAGTTTGTAAAAAACCATAGTGACACGGTAGTTAAAACTGTATATTCACAGAAGTGTTTCACATTCTACTAAAATGGGAACTAGTAAGAGAAGAGGATAACTTGTAAGAGCTATGAGTGTGGTTGCTAATTCGTATCCACTGTAGTTTTTATGTATTTGTGAAGCCGATTATTTCTAAATTTCAAACTTAGATTTATAAATTGTAAGAACCCTGGTGTTTATTTTAAGGATGTAATGATTTTTTAAAGGAATATTATGGCATGTTACGTGTAAAGTTGGCTTATAACTGATGATGATTTTTAATTGCTGCAATTAATATATTCTAAAAATCTTCTTGGCACAGCATAGATGTTATCAGGAAAAGGATTACTGCCGCAACACAAATACACACAGTGATATAGCACCTTTGATGATTCATGGGAGCAGCTGTAATTTTAACATCCCTTCTCAGCTAGAAACCGTACTTAAGTAATTTGGACATGATTTCCCCTTTTAAATAGAGCAGTCTTAAAATCTCAAATGTTTGGCCATTAGTTTACATTGTAAACAAATTCTAAATCTTAGAAAATTCTTTCTGATACCTACTTTCTTCATTTAGAGTTCCTTAACACGTAGAAGCTGTAACCTTAACTTAAAAGTTGAGGGGTTTTTTCCCCCCTAAAATTACTATTTTTGTATTATATTGTGATGTTTTATTTCTCCTAGGAATCTTAAGTGTTCTCATGTGTAGCACCAGTAATATGGGGACTTTTAAGAATACAAACTTGTGGGGCTTGCTTTCAGTTCATCTGAGACGGAGGCAGGCAGTACATTTGACCCTCAAACAACCCGGGGGTTAGGGGGACCAGAACTTCCCTCCTACCCTGACACGCAGTCAGAAACCCGGGGGTTAGGGGGACCAGAACCTCCTCCTACCCTGACACGC